CTGAGTAGTGTCTTATGAAAAGATGCTCAACTCACAAGTCGTTGTTGTTGTTGTTATTTGCCGTCGAGTTGGTCCTGACTCATAGCGACCCCTCCTTGGGTTTCCAAGGCAGTATCACTACGGAAGTAGGATTGCCCAACCTTCCTTCCGAGGAGTGGCTGGTGGGTTTGAACCGCCAGCCTTCTGGTTAGCAGTCAAGTGCCTTAGGCACTATGCTACCAGAGCTCCCAAGTCATTAGGGAAATACAAATCAAACCCACAATGAGATATTGCTTCATACTTACTTCTTGTTGTTGATAGTTTCCATCATGTCAATTCCTTGTCGTGGTGACCACATATGTATAGAGTAGAGCTGTGCTCCAAAGCATTTTTCAAGGCTATGTCCTTGTGGAAGTAGATCTCCAGACCTGACTTCTAAGGTGACTCTGGGTGGATTTGAACTGTCAATCTTTCAGCTATTAGTGGAGTACAAAACTGTACCACTCAGGCTTCTCCAAGGGGTATCTTATAAATGAAGAGAGCAGACACAGAGATAGATAGGAAGGATGGCCATGTGACGAGGGAGGCAGATGCAGCTGCAAGCCAAAGAGCACTAAGGATTGCCAGGAACTACCAGAAGCTGGGAGAGAGGCATGGAGCAGATCCTCCCTGTGAGCCCCCAGAATGAAGCAACATGACTAATATCCTGATTTTGGACTCTCTGCCTCCAGAACTGTGAGACAGTAAATCTGTTCTTATAAGCCACCCAGTGTGTGATGGTTTGTTGCAGCAGCCCCAGGAGATTGAGACAGATGTGTTTCTAAGTACAGGTGCTGGAGGGTGTGCAGTGGCAGGGAAGAGGATCTTCCCTCCACAACCTGGAAGGAGCATTTCTTCAGCTGTAGACAGCAGGCTTTGAGGGTGTGGGTAGAATGAGCCTCTTGTGATGGCTTTATTGCCAGTTGCCCCCTGTCCTTCTCTGTTTCATGCTGAGGTACCTCAGCAATTAGGAATCCTCACATAACTTCTGTGAGAAGGATGGATGTACAGTCCCATCCTTGGTCCTCCCAGGTGTTGAAGGCCTCCTACAGCACAGATGGCTGCCAGTGTTGGAGTTGGGGCAGGAAGCTGAGTTGGCTGGGAAGCACTGTTTAATCATTATTGGCCAAGGGTTGGAAAATCATGGGTTGATGAGTTGATGTTTTCAGGAGGAAGTTGGGTGCAAGGTACTGCTGCTGTCAAGAAGCAGCCATCTCCTGCCTAAGGACTCTACACTGAGTGTCTAATTGTAGGCCACCTGGCCAATTAGTGTTGCAGGGCTGTGTCCTATGGGCTGAGCCTGGGGTAGGATGATGTGAGGATTTTTTCTCTTTTCTTATTTCCCCCCTGGAACCTGAGAGTGGATTCCCCTGGACACCCACCAAGCAGCAGATGGCTGGCTGTGGAGGACATGGGCATGACATCATATCCAGCAGGAGCCATAAGCCAGAAACAACAGAAGCTGGATTTTTAGCAGCTGCAGCTGTGTCTATGGCTAGAAAAAGCCTCTGGTGGACTGGGTTTGGGGCCACATGGGATCACACAGGACTGGAGGTCTAGGGGGGTCTCCATACCTGGTGTGACTCTACCTCTGACTCTGCATCTTCCAGGGAAGTAGTGGTTTCCCACCAAGTCCAGATCTGTGCTTATTTTGCTGAGAATTCTGGGATACCTAGGGCAGATATAGGGGCTGCCTAAAACAAGACAAAAGGACACCCACCTGTTTGCCAGCCTTCCCCACGTAGTATCACTCCATCCAGCTCTCTAGGACCCTCCATGTCTGACCAACAGGGCCCTCACCAGGGCTTGCTGGTTGTGATAGCTCAGAGAGTATCTGTGGAAAATGGTGTCATATTTCACCACGTTTCCAAATGCTGGTGAGAGATGTGGCCATCATGGAAGATGCTAGGTAAATTGACAGTGGTCTGGAAATGTTAGTCATTATTTCATAAAGGAGGCACTATGTGTCCCCAACTATGTGTCACCACCCATCTGTCAGTTTGTCATACTGTGATGGCTTACATGTTACTATGATGGTGGAAGCTATGCCATCATTATTTCAAATACCAGTAGAGTCACCCATGGTAGACAGGATTCAGTGGAGTTTCTAGAGTAAGACAGACTAGAAAGAATATTTCTAAAAATTAACCATGGATCACAACAGAATATTGCCTAATAAAGTGCTAGAAGATGAGTCCCTAGGTTGGAAGGCATTATACAATAGCTACAACAATGGACTCAAACATGCCAGTGATTATGAAGATGGCATGAGACTGTATAATGTTTTGTTCTGTTGTACATGAAGTTTCCATAAGTCAGAGCTAACTCTATAATAACTAACAATAACAAATAGTGTGCCAGACAGTAGGTTATGCACAAGACTGACTACACAATATGTGAGGCCTAGGGCAAAATGAAAATATGAGGTCCCATGTCCAAATGTTAAGGATTTCAAGATGATGACAGCAGAACATTAAACAAGCACAGAGGCCCTCTGAGCATGGGGTCATGTGCAGTTGTGCAGATCACATACTCATGATGCCATCTTTCTTTCTTTTGAAGAATGACCAGTGAAATGTGATGGATGTACAGCTTAGAGAGCTAGGTTTGGATACTTTTTTTTTCCATTCCCAAATGTACCCCATCGATCTGGCTTTGTGGATTTGTATGAGTTTGCAATTAGATGACATAAAAAGTGTGGCACTGCTAATTAACAGAACAAAGCAGTATTATCTGGGAATGAAGTCTCTGAAGGCAGGTGGCTTACTTTACCTTTTAGTGAAAACACTTGAATGAGAAGGAGAGGGAAGATTCACATTTTGAATCTTCCTTTTCAGGACAGACCTCTGATTGAGCCTGACTCTTCATGAGTGGACCACACTTCTGTCTTCTTCCCTAGGAGAAGTAATGGGGAATGCTACAAGGTCTCTCATTTGAGACTCATCTTGTTCCCTTCAGGGAGGCCATGACGTAAAAAAGTAGAAAATGCAGCACCTTATGCCCACCAACCAGCAGGACTGGCTTTCTCAAGATGGCACCCACAATGAGGACAGTGCTCCTTCCTTTGACCAGCTGAAGCAGAGAGCAAAGCTTTCAACAAACTCTATTGTGTGACTCTGGGAAACCCTGGGTCAAGGTCTTCTTATCAATGTGTGAATGCACTGTATGTGTGCATGCACATGTGTGTATTTGAGGGGGAGAGAGAGGAAGAAAGTGAGAGGGAAGGAAAATGTCCAAAATGTTCAAATGGAAAGGGTGCTGGAAAAGGAATGCTGGGTTGCGGTTAGATAGATATCAAAAGAGTGTGAATATTTATAGCCATAATTTTATTGGTTTGGCTTCCTCTCTGCCAGTATTTTTTCCTACTGTCCTCTGCTGTTTGTTAGTGTTCTAAAAGGGAGTCCTTGACAGAGAAATCTAGTCACAATGCTCCCCTTTTCAGCTCCTTATTGTTATTCTCTTGCCCATGTCCATCGGTGTTTCTTTGTTTTGGAATGAGGTTATGACAAGTTTGGGAGTCTTAAAGGCTTTCTTTTTGTTGTTGTTGTTTATATATAAATTGAAAATCAAAAATATGTACATTTGCTGTGGGGAAAAAAAAAAAGGTAGAAATTTCAAAGATGCAAACTCACACAAGTTGCTGACATGATTGGTCCTGAGCTCCTCCTTAATTTCTTTCTGGAGTAACATACTGCCTCCTTATTCATTGCCCTCAGTAGGATTGCAGGTCAAATCCTTCCCTGAGAGTTGGTTTTGGTAGAAGGAAGGGAGGAATTGAGGCCACTAAATGCCTGAGTATGAGGATACTTTCTGAGTGTCAAAGAGGGGGAGGTATATACCCCACCAAGGTGGATTAAGAGTAGCCCAAGCCAGAATTAGCTTTCTTTCACAACTGTATTTAGTGCCAATCTTGAATGGATAGCTATGTCTTCCTTTCCGAAGTTATTATTATTATTATTATTAAAGTAAAATGACTACAAAACACACCTTTTAAATCTGTGCACTTGGGTGTATTCTAACAGCCCACCCCCAGGCTATGTGAAGTGCTGGGTATAGGGCTCTCAGAGGGGCACAGTTGCAACCAGGCCATTTGCTCTCCTCATCTACTCTAGCCAGTGCTCTGTGGTCAGCTCCTAACTGTGTGGACTAATGGGAGGAATTATGAAAATTAGCTGGTTTCAGGAGAGAAAGGCCCAGATCTCTCATTTTACACACAGGAGGGCAGAGGTCAAAGCGAGTCCTTGTCACCTATGAGCTAGAGCTGTGCCAGACTCAAAGGGCACTCATTCACAGACACCCCTGGGGGACCCTGGGGAGCTTTAAGAATATAATTTTTTAAATGGCATTTTCATTGTCTTCTCATCTGAGGGATATATGGCCACTATAGCATCTAGAACCAGTTGCTGCCCAGATGGAGTAACTTGGGGAAGCCACTGTTGTTTGATATTTATTGACTGATGATTGTCCTGGGCAGTTGTTGTTGTTATGTGCTGTCAAGTCAGCCCTGACTCATAGGGACCTCTCCTTGGGTTTCCGAGGCAGTATCACTACAGAAGTAGATTGCCCCCTCTTCCTTCCGAGGAGTGGCTGGTGGGTTTGAACTGCCAACCTTCTGGTTAGCAGTCAAGTGCATTAGGCACTACACTACCAGAGCTCCTCCTGGGCAGTAGGGCTTGCAAATATGTTCTTCTAGGACTTTTTCAGCTGTTGGGAGGAATCCTTCCAACACCTGAGCGTTACTTATGCAGTTGTTAAGCTATCTCAGGAGTCTTGTGTGGGAACCTGGGCTTACCCTTGGGAATGTTGTAGATAGACTACTCTTGGTGAACACTGTTAATTGTTTTTCCTCCTATAACCTGTGACAACTAAAGTGGTAACATTGCTATGAGCAGGGTAACAAAGAGGATAAATAAATAGTGTTTTTTCTCACATTCTTACTGGTACTGCATGAACCTGATTTTGTCCTTTTTATTAATTTTTAGGACTGATTTCTGTGTTCATAAAGATGAGCCATGTGACACCGTTGGTAAGTTGGGAGTTGGAATCATAATCTATGGGGCTGGTATGCTCTGTGATAATATGGAGGCTTGTTGATATAAATTCCAGGTTGGAGGAGCTGCTCTCAGACAAGCTCTGCTTTTGCTTTTCTGTAGACTCTTTTCTTACAAATTGATTCCTCATCTTTATCTTCCCTTTTTCATTCAAAAAGTTATGAACTTGCTTATAGAAGAAGGCATCTAAACAAGGGGTTAATAAAGGAGATGTCATTGTTGTTGTTATGTGCCATCGAGTTGGCCCCAACTCACAGCGGCTCCTCCTTGGGTTTCCGAGGCAGTATCACTACAGAAGTAGATTGCCCCATCTTTCTTCCGAGGAGTGGCTGGTGGGTTTGAACCACCAGCCTTCTGGTTAGCAGTCAAATGCCTTAGGCACTACGCTACCAGAGCTCCCAATAAAGATATGGTAAGTCAAAACAAGGAAAGAGAAGCCATCATTCTGTCTCAGGGAACTTGCAAGTGGGGACACATTTGGTTTTGAGCATGTTGGTCTCCACGGTAGAAGGGGAAGCAAGTTGAGTAACTGGTGGTTATGAGACAGAAGTGAACTGATTTATTCTCGTGTGTGCTGGTAATTTTTATCAAGTGTTCTCAGAGTTGAATGTGATGATTCAGTTATAAGACTGGGGCCACGAGGCTAATTGCTTTGCAATCCAACAGTGTTAATGCTGACATGTAGTGCTGAGTAAAACACACTTTCCTCCTCCTCTCCCTCCATTGCCTTCTCCTTCTCCCCATCTTCCTGTCACTTTTCATTTTCCTTTCTCTCTTGTCTTCATTTATATCTAGATTTTGACTGTTTATATTGAAATTTTTTTTTCCAGCATAAGAATAGAGTTCTTGGTTTAATAGAGGAAACACTAAAAGCATTTCCAACTTTGTCTGCTATAGCACAAACTTTTATTTGCCAAGAGTCTGAATATTGCATTGCCAAAATAAAAATTCTGAATCTAATGTGCTTAGAATTGTAGGAAAATTGAAGGAAAAAGTTTAAGATTGAAAAATATACATAGTGTAGAACTCAAAGATTAAAAACCTTCCTGTGGAGTCCTGGCAATGGGTAGCCTTTGCCCAGACAAACTGATAGGCTTTGGGTAACTTTCCATTTGCTTCTTAATGTGCAAAATGGTCATCTTGTACTAGGGGCTTCTAAGGCTCTTCAGAATTTAGTATAAAGATAACTAACATTTATGTCATACTTTAGAGTTTACAAAATGACTTTTTATACAGTATACATCATCCTCTAAACAAATCTGAGAATGAGGTATCAAAAACCATCCAACCAACCAACTAACCATCCATCCAACCAACTAACCAACCAAACAACCTATGCTTCATTACTTGGGAACTGTCTTCATAATGGAATTTCTAAACAAATGCAATGGGAAAATATGCATCAATAAAAGTGTAGTTAGCATATGACTAAGTCTGGCTGAAGTTGTAGAAGATGTGTGTTGACATCTGCCCATTGACAAAAACTGCCTAAGCATGTGCTATCCTAGAAATGGCTGTTCCCTCTCAGTATTCATAAGGAAGCTTTGATAGCTACCAGATTTCTGTCTGAGAGGCAGCCTCTGCTCTGTGTACCTCCTGCTCCCTGTGCTTGCCCCTGTGCACAATGGTATTGATTCATCATCTTGCCCTTGCCTGTATATCTCCCATGGAGGAGTTTCCACTACATGTTGTTGTTGTTAGGTGCCGTCAAGTCGTTTCCGACTCATAGCAACCCCATGCACAGCAGAATGAAACACTGCCTGATCCCACACCAGCTCCATGATCCCTGCTATACTTGAGCCCATCATCTCAGCCACCGT